CAAAAGAGAGTCACTGAATAATCTGCATTTCTGCAGATAATTCTGTTTAACTTCTTGGTCACTGTGTGTGCCAGGATGTGAATTAATCCATGCCAAAGCACTTTGGGTTCCCCCAAGTGTAAAAGCATCCATGGAAATCCAACCTTTCCTGTTCCCTGGTGGCCAGCATTGGAAAATGCAAGGAGCCTAGTGGGATTTGAGTGATTTATGAAATACAAGCCCTGTGGTGTGTATGGAACACGTTGTCTTAGTCTTGGGAGCACGAGGAGCACAGCTCTGCGTGTTTTGGCAGTGCAAGGAGAGAGGGATGGAACCGATCCCCAGCTCTCCTCCCAAACTGAGATCTGCAGGGCTGTGGGGAGCAAACACTGAAACAAGCAGCCCCTCCAACAGCAGGGTGAAGAAGAGGCTCCTGCAGGTGCAAGCTCTTCTGTTCCTGACTCTGTGTGGGGCACTATGATCTTGTTTTGCTGGAGACTCCAAAGACTCAAAAGTTAGCTCTGTGCAGGGCTCCCAGAGATTGAATAAATTCAAAATGACATGCCCTGCATCCTGAGGGGTCATGCCATTATGCATAGCATTTTGTGCAGAACATTCATTTCTGATGAGGGCTTTTATTGATGGCATCATTAGAATCGAAAGAGAGAGGGAAGATTGATTTGCTTTGACAGAGCATCAAATATTCCTGTTAGGGTATAAACACAGTTTGTTAGCCATGCAGAGAACTGTAGAAAAATTAAAAATTAAATTATATAAAAAGCATTTGTTAAAAAAGTCAGAAAAATTGCTTGGAGCCAGATCTACTCAAGTTGAAGGTAAGTTTGTAGTTTGGAGCACAAAATATTGAATGAAATTGTTACACTGGTTTCTCACTCATCTGGTAAAAAACAATTCTGATACAATTGAAAAAAGAAAACCTGAGTTTGTTTCAAATTGTTGCCACCTCATGACAAATGGGTCCCTCATGGACTCCTAAATTTATCTTTGTGTCATGACAGGATGAAGGCTTTAATATTTGTGTTGTGACAGCAGGCTTTTCATCCTACTATTAGTAGTTTGAATAATTTGGTTCTCATCCCAAGCTGCACATCAGAGAGTCAGTTTTTCTACATAGGATCTTTTCCCATAATTTCCAAGCAGTCTGGGAGTTGGATGAGGTGAAGTGAGGAGGATGTATATCTGAGATGAGAATACCAGGCAAAAAATTATGTACATTTGCTCTCCCAGAGCATAACCCAGATTTTCTCATCAGTGATATCTGCTGTAAAAGCTGCAGGGAAGGTGACTACACAGTTTGATTAAATATGAGCTTGAAAATGGAATTTCTACGTTTGAAACTGGGTTTCATGTAAAGCTTCACCCAGTCCTGTTGATCTTATTTCACAGATTTGCATTAGGCAATGACTCAAATAGTTCAGGAGACCTTGGGCCTGGCACTGAGCTTGCCCTGAATTATCTTTTTTGCCTTGCAGTGCCAGGCTGGAGTCTCAAAGCCCAGTTGCTCTGGACAAGCTGATAAAAACTCCATGGATTTTATGGGTCAGATTTACCTCAGTAGAGCAGAGCAACTTCCAGATTATTGTGCCTAGATTTTGTCCTACATTTTAAAGGAGCTAACTGAGCCAGGAGAGTTTTCCTTTCAGTCACACTGTACAGAAACACCTGAGGCATTCAGATATGCATGCCCTGGTTATTTTCTGTCAGGACTTGTTGCATTAACATCGAAGGACTATCCTTTAACATCAGCTCCTGTTTTTCCCATATGTGAAACAAGGAGAGCTCCCAGTCTTTTGTAATTCTGGATTTGGGGGGTTTATAAGTGATAAATTTCATGTAAATAATGTGAATGAAAGATTTAAACTAGTGTGGAATATAATATTCCTCTTAAAAAAAAAATAAAAGCTCTATTTATTTAGACATGTTGAGGCAGTTGTTTGGGTTGTGAAAGAAATTGCTGTCTTCAAAACTGGATTAATGGCCCTTGGGGCTACATAGAGAGGATGGTGGGGAGGTGACAGGGGGTATATGCCAAGACTAAGAAAAATATACATTAAAGTTGTGCTGAAAATGTCTGAATTGATGTTTTCATTTGTTCTGCCAAGATTCCTCTGGGATTCGATGAGCTCACATAACCCGTGCTTACTTGAACTGTCTGTGAGCTGAAGCCATGGAGTTATTTTCACCACATCTCTTGTCCTGAGAGAGCTGCTTGTTGTTTTGGCATGGTGCTGATAAACAAAGTGAGGGCATTTAGCAGGTTTTGCTCGTTATATTTTCTGGTGGGGGGTTACCTTTTTGGGGAGAGTCTTTTATTCATGGGGAAATCTTCTAGCCAAGCCCACCTGTTGACTCCGACCTGTTCTCTCCCAGTCAGTCAGATCCTAGGAGATCCTGATTTGCTCTGCAGTGGCCCTGACACCTCTTGGGCCAGCAAGAGGTGAGGATAAGCAACACCAGTCAAAAGATCCTCAGCACACTGCAGTATCAATGCCTCTGGGCATATTGGATCACAGGTTTGATTCCTTTGTGAGCTGCCAGTGAAACCTCACCATGGCATTTTTTCCTCAAATTTTATATGAAATAGCGTGTATCTCATCTCCTTATCTCCCTGTGAAACAGAAAGGTGGAAGAGTGTTCAGGATCAATCTTGTGCTTCATGAAAATGACCTGGCAATGCTCCTTTGCCAGATCATTCTTACGTATTTCAAAACAAAACCGAGCATAAACTCCTGCCTGTGAAACACTTAGGCTGAGCTTATCCCTGGGGAGATGGTGAGAAACAAACAACACGTGACAATTGCTAATCACATTCTGTAATATATCACTGGGAGGCTCTGAGACTGCAGCAAAGGGCACAGCATTCAGAGTGGAATAGAATGGCTTTGATCTGAGGTTCATTTTGGGTTATGCTGTGGAAAAAAAACCTCAGCAAGCCCCAAACAAACCTTGTTCTGTTACAAAGATATGACTAAAGCATTCACATTGAATTTATGAACAGGCAGCTCAGTAGATTCTAGGAACATGCAAAACCTGAGTAGCAGGGTTCCAAGCACATGAGTAGTATGATTATGTGCAAGAGTTGAAAGCAAACTAGTAATTTGCAAACTCTCCAATAGTTTATTGCACATTAATTATTATTTATTTTGTATGATAAACTAGATTAGTTATTAATTGCCCATATTATTATTCATTAATTCATTTATTACTAATTCATTTGAGGCTAGAACAACATTTCAGGTGCAGTCAGTGCACCAGAGCCAATGAAAACCTTCAGGGACAGAGTCTGAGAGGGACAGAGGATGCTGTGAGAAAACCCCTCTTGTTGTCTCATCCCACCTCCTTCTCAGAGCAGGTCCAGTCACAGCAAGATACCCAAGGACTTGTGCAGTTTTTAACCTCTCCAAGGATGGAGAGCTGCCAGCCTTTCTGGTCTCTGATAGATGACCACCCCTATGGTACAAAGTTCTTTTATCATGTCTAAATGTCCCATTGATTGTTTATTTTTTTGTTTAAAAGACACTGACTTTTCCAGTTTTTGCCAGTCTAACACAACTTTCTACCTTCGCTTCTTTATAGCTCTCCCACAGAGCACTTGGTGAAGGAATTATGAAGCCTATAGGAAAGCCAGGCTCTGGGAAATGACTGATATGTGCCACCTTTCAAGGCTGTCTGCATGATGGTCTGTAGCACATAGATGAGGATTCTCCCTCTAAATCACTTTTATTTGAATTGTTCTAATGTGAGTGCAGTTGTCATATGGTGATGGACTCCAGTTAAGTGGTGGATGCCTCACAAACAATGTTATTCTATCAAACTACTGATTGGGCCAGCTCTTTCCAAAAACCAGTGATGTTTTTAAGATCCTTAAAATACCAGGAGCTGTATTTTTTTTTCCTAAGGATACTTGATATCCTTAAGATACCAGGAAGTATCTTTGGGAATTTCAGGCTTTTTCTGTCTGTATTTCTACTTGGACTTTTACCTGTATGGGACATCTTTTGTTAAGGCTTCAACATATAGGCCAGGTCAAATAGATAGCAAATATTGATAGCAAATATTACTCCTTTTTTCCTGCCCTGTGATAGTAGCTCTTGATCTTCAGATTCATTTGTGGTCAGAGGCTGAGTCCTGTAACACCTTTGGAAAATGTGCTGTTCTCTGAAGGAGGTGCTGATACAAGATTATTTATCAACCACCACTTTCTTGTTTCATTTCTCTGACTCTTGGATGCTCAAAGGTGGAAACACATGCAGAGATAAGAGGCTGTGGCAGCTCTCAGGAGAGAAGCCCTGGCCTGGCTCTCTGTGCTGGGAGATGGATGGCAGTGCAAAGTGGGAGGAAGAAACCCCATTTCTTGCTGCTTTCATTTGATCTGCTTCCTTTCTCACATCTCCGTGTGTGGGGCAAGGGGGAGGGCAAGGAGGGTGAGGAGAGCAGGACAAGGGTGGGAGTTTCCTTCATGCTTCAGCAGTGGTGCTGAATGTGAGGGAAACAATAGTTGGTCTGAATCCAGGCATTCCCCTGGGCAGGGGCTGCCTGGGGAGTGAATGCAGATCTGTGATTCTCACAGGTACTGCTGCCACTGGCTGGAATACCTGTGAATTGGGAACCGATAGGAAATTGGAATTGGGAACCGATAGGAAAGTGATATGCAGACAGAGCTCTGTCCTAAATTTCATCCTCTGAGTTTGCAGGGTAATAGATTTTTCTACCTCTGAATAATTTTCAAGATAAGGCTCAACATTCAGCTGTCAGGATGACATGTTCTCTTCTCAAATGACAGCCTTTATTTCATTTGAAGTACTGGAAGTGCACATTTCACTCACTTTCATGCACTCAAAAAAAGCCCCAAACCCTGAGTATTGTCACAGGAAGAGACAGGTTCCACTGCAGAGGAAACACATGTAATCAGCCTGCTGGTAGTTGCACCACAAACCACCTGAGCACCAGGCTGCCTTCTTTCAGCTGTGATTAAGAGGCCTGAATTGCAGATAACTGCTTCGGAAAAACACAGGGGCAAGCATCTGCTCAGCACTGCAGGTAACAGCACCCAATGGATCTGCCCCAAAAATCATCTCTGCCCACTTCTGCCTGACAGCAGGCAAGGTTTTGATCACCTCTTCTCTTCCATTTACCAATGCTTTCATTTCTCAGATAAACAAGCTTGGTTCTGAGGGGTGGGTTGTGATTCACTTGGGGAACAATCATGCAAAACCAGGTTTTGTTTTGTAACATCTCAAAATAATTTGAAGTGATTGCAATTTACATTGGTGAGGGAAAAGCGTTTGTGGTGAAAATGATTTTACATGATCTATATGTGATTTTTCTCTGGCTCAGACTTGAGCACAACAGTCTGAATATTGTCAGAACTGATTTGCACTGCCCAAGCAGCCTGTCACCAGTGGAATGGGCTCAGGTAGCTATTGATGAGCTGTGTCTTGAGATTCCAATAGTGTCTTCCTCCTGATAAGAGAGAGATTAAGATTAGTCTTCTCATGAAGCCACAACCTTTGGCTCCACCTGGCATTGTGATATACCAAAAACAAGAGCAAAATCCTAGATGAACTTTATTTGGACTCTTCCAGGTTTCATTTGGGTCAAGTTCAATGGCAAGTCAAGCTATTTAAGGCTCAATTGTTTGTTCCAGACATGGACCAGAAACACGGGGTGGAAAGGAGCTGCACCCTGCTAGCACATGGCTGCTGAGGAGAGACATTTCCTTTCTGAGGTCCTGCCCTTGTAGAGACTGATTTACACCTCTTGCATCCCTTCACAGTCCTTGGTGCAGCTATGCAGACCAGCCCAGCCTCTCTGAGGAATAAGCTTCTGGAATGTTTGGAGGAACAGTTCCTCTTCCACCCCAGCTGTAAAGCCTAACATTTTGTGCTAGGCCAGTCTAGGAAGCCCAAAGGTAGAAAAGAAAGTGATTTCTGTTCTTTCCTCCCAACCTCTACCTATGGCATGATTCTGAATGAGTGTGAGTAATACTGCCCTTGATTTCTATTGTTTTGTTTTGGTTTTTTTTTTCTTTAAAAAGAGGCTTTTTCTTTCCTTCCCTCTCTTCTCCCTTCTTGCTATAAAGGAAAAAGATGCAGGAGAAAGGATGTGGGTAGAAGAATGTGTAATGCAAAAATCCAACTCTAAGATAGCTATCTTTTTTGGAGGGGCTTGTGAGAAAAAACTTAAAAAAAAAAAACCATGCAAAACACTGCCTTTGTTTCTCTTGGGGCTTTTTGTAGGATTTGAGATGAATGTTTTGGCTCTGTTTGGGCAGGATAGTCTGTGTCTGTGTGCGCACACAGATCAGGGGAGCACATTACGTAGCAGCACAGAGACCTTGCCCAGCCATAGTGCCTGCTTGCACGAGAGAGTGGATTCTTCAGCTCCTACATCACTCCCAGCTTAGTCAGACATACTCTGCAGACAGCAGACTGCCTCATGTGTTGCTGTTGTTTTGGTTTCAAGGCTTTGGGGCCTGGCTCTCAGCTGCCTTGGACTGAACAGGACAAACAACAAACCCAGATAACTCAGAAGATGCAGGAAATAGAGGACATATATGTATTTTTAAGGATATGGATGATGGGGGAGGAATTGCTGATATGGCTGTGAACTCTTGTGATATATTTAGAACCTTGGAGTAAAGCTCCAGTTCACTGAAATCAGTAAAAATATTGCTGCTGAATTCACTGGAAACAATTCTGCTGTCCTCTGTCCCAGGAAAGCATTAGTTGAAAATATACAAAATATACATCAGCTGTGCTTTCACATCTGTGTTCCCAGGGAATAAATGGCACTGTACTTCCAAAATGCCCATGTGCAGGCACACAGCTTTCTAAAGATGCTGTTGTGAACCCTGAAAGCCCTGTCTTTTTTCAGCTTCCAGGTCAAGTTCTGGGTCAGGTCATAGGTGTTACCACTGGGGAGGAGGAAGGAAACGTGTCCTTCTCACTCCAATCCAAGCAATTTTTGTGTAGGAGTGAAGTGTTTTGGGCTTCTTTTCTTTTCTTTTCTTTTCTTTTCTTTTCTTTTCTTTTCTTTTCTTTTCTTTTCTTTTCTTTTCTTTTCTTTTCTTTTCTTTTCTTTTCTTTTCTTTTCTTTTCTTTTCTTTTCTTCATTTGGTGGGGTTTTTCGCAATGAGTTGTGTTTTCTGTTCTATTTTAAAAGCAAAGCAAACTGCATGTGAGTCACATACACAGCCACCTTCAGCTTTACTGAAGCTCTCTGCAGCAGAGGAAAGGCAACAATATTACAAATGAGCAAATGGTATTTTGGGATATTTTATAAATACCTGAGTTCTTTGGATCTTCCTGAACCAGACTCTAGGGATTGGTGTGTTTCATAACCAATATCAAAATAGTTTTAGTATCAGTCACTTGGATGTTGCACTCTACTCCAGCTTTGTCTCCTGTGGTGTCATCTTGGGGAATATTAACTGAACTGACTTTGTAATTTTTCCATGCCTGCTCTCTCTGCAGGATGTGCCCTGTGCCAGATGGTTGACTTGAATGAATTCTCTTTACGTCGTTAAAAATCACTTTCTTTTATTATTCATGACTTGTTTCTTCCATCTCTCATGTTTTTCAGTTTTCTCTCTGCTTCATAGATGGGCAGTCATGCCAAATTGAGATCAGGCTGTTAATTCATCTTATATTTTTTGCCCCATGTTGGGCAAAAAAGCGTGTCAGGATGACATAGGGCATTTTCTCAGATTCCAGCTATGTTTAACTCCCAGTGCCTGTCTTGTAAGAAAATGTAGAGAGCTGGTTTTCATAAAGTAACGATACTGTCGCTTTGAGGCTGTGAGAAGTGATTTTTTTTTTTTTTTTGTCTGCAAGAAGTGAATAGGAAATTGAAAATAAACTGCATGGGAATTTAAAGTATCTGTAATATTTTCAGTTAAACTGTTGAGCTGTGTAGAAGTACTCCCAGCATATATGAAAATCATAATGGGTCAGTGTCCTTCAAGATGCAGCACCTACATTGATTAGAAAGATCACAAAGCTGGCCTGATGAAAAGGTTATGCACTCAGTTGCACATGCAGTACAACTAGGTATTAAAAATCAGACTCTGAAATATTTGTTAAAAGCAGATCTAACCCCATTGATGTCAAATGCACTGATTTTCTTTGGACAACGATCTATTGCTTTAAGTTTATATTCAATATAAACATCATATGCAATAATAAATCTTAGGAGCACATGCTCAGATTATTTGATTTATAATTTCATTTAGTGTAAAGCTATTTCATTTCATTCCATTTCATTCCATTCTTCTGTTTCTCATTCCTCTGTAACAACCTTGTAAATGTGACAGGGAAGCTCAGATCTTTGCCCAGCAAACAATATATATTATTTGCTACACGAAAGTGGTGCACAACTCTCTTAAATGTTCCCTAGCAGACTCCTATTGCATTCCACAATGTGCCTGCACTTGAACCACCTCCATTCATATCAGAGTCTTTTTATCCCAGCACACATTGAGCAAGCTGCTCTGAAGCTTAATTCTCCTGACCCTTCAGTGCAGTCGGATATTGTCACCTAATCCCCTTTTTTTCCTTCTGTCCCATGTGTGGTTTTGACTTCTTTCTCTTTTCAATTCCTTTTTCCTCTTCCCTTTTTCTTTCTTTCTTATTCTATAAGCCTCTCTCCAGGCTGCACATTCCAGAATTCATCCTTGCATTAGGGCTGCAATACAATGCTCTCCCAGTGTTAAAGGATTAGACATTAAGGAGACTGTGGCAACTCCAGCCTCACTCGGAGCACAGGGGGAACATAAGGGGATGGAGGAGCTCCCGCTAAAGAGGAAGGAGGCTGAGAAACAAGGGGGGGAAATGGCATCTCAGCAAAACCAGAGTGGGTGACAAAGAGGTTTGTGTGATTAAAAGTAACACTTTCTGCCCGGTTTAACACTTTGGGGTGTTTCTGGAAGACAGCAAACCAGTTAGAAAGAAAAGTGCTGCACATGACACAGGCATTGCTACATTAAATGCAGTTTTTATTTTAGCATCCATCTCTGAGAAATCGCCAGTATGAAGTTTGTCCTGTGGTGGCATGTCATTCCAATGCATGAGGCGACACTGTGGTCTGAAGTGCTAAGGTTAATCAATAGTGCATAGATCTTTTTTTTTTACATAGATAATTGTGCCTCTGACTCACAGATTTCCAAAGTTCATTCTACTCTCAGAGGAGGAGTCTGGGGTCTTAACTTCCAAAGATTTCCTGCAGATTGGTTTTAATTTGTTTTCATTTTTCTGAAGAGAATGGCCTTTGTTAAATATCCCTTCTACTGTCCTTATTGGATTGGAATGGAATTGGAAAAAAAGTGCAATACTTTTCAGTATACACAGGTTCATAACAGTGTAGAAACCCTTTTGATGAAATTAAGGTTAATTTCTTTCTTTCTTCGTCACCTCTTCACCCCTGCAAAAGTAATTCTGTAAAAAGCAAATCTATGGATATAACCATGCTTCATTTAAATCCATCGATGATCTCCAGAAGCTATTAAAGGATTAAATTATTGAGAAGAGGGTCATTCCCAAAGCACACAGACCTATTAGCAGAGCAGCAATTGTCCATTAGAATCTGTAGCACGGCTCACAAAACCCCACAGACTGCTTCTTTTTTTCCAGCGAGGTTGTTTTGGTATTTGTTGATGGGGTGGGAAAAGGAGTGTGAAGAAGCAGAGTTTTGCATTTTGCATGGGGGAGCTGGTGGTCATCCTAATCTATTACGGAAGTGAGACCTGCAGCCGTGGGCCAGCTGCCGAAAAAGTTTTGTCACCCAGACTCATGAGTCTCACCCTTGTGCCTGACAGTTTCATTGTTCCCGAGGAACGTAAGTGTCATGGGAGGTCATGGTTGCATTATTATTATTCAGCTACATTTGAATAAATGTACTTGGCTCTGTAAAGAATGCTACAGGGCCTACTTACCCCGCTGTACCCCACGGGCATGTGGTGAGGCTTAAAGATTGTAAAGTGCTTTGAGTTCCTTGGAAAGAAAAAATAAAAAAAGGCACTACATGAATGCAACAGATTCCCATTTGTTCATACAGCATCTGGTCCCACATCAGTGATGTTATGATATAAGGGATCAGACCCGCAGTGCTGTACATGTGTTGGATTATTCACAAACATAAATGGAGATATGGCCCCAACCCCAAGGTCTTTGCAGCGTAAAGAGCTGACCTGGCAGGCTACCAAACACACCTTCTGCAAGGCACCAAGTGGGCTTTTTAGCACCAAGCAATTAGGGGTGAGGATTGAGGCTTGGAGCAGACAGGGGAAAAAGGGCACAGGCTGAGCACTGGGAAGATGAGCAAAATCCATGCCGTAAGAAGAAAGATTCAAGTCTTGAAATTAAGGGTTGTTCTGGGTGCAGCTGTGATGTTTTACACTGTACTTTCATGCTTTACATTTTCTTGTGGAAATACGTTGTGAGATTTTGATGAGAACAGAAGGAACTGGAGCAGTAGCAGTGAGACAGCATCATTTTAATAATGAGCAAATACTTGATTAAGTTAATAATTTTGTTGGCTAGATTCTTACCCTGTATTATTGCCTGGCCCATATCAATGAAGTTTTGTGGTTTCTGGTGTTTTCTTCAAGCTGTAGATTTATTTTTTTTTTTTTCAGAAAGCAAGTAAACTTTGGAGCTAGACAGAAATTCTTGCCAGTTGCACATGGATATTCTTCTCTCAGCAAGATGCAGTTTACTGCCTACCTTTAAGGCCAAGCTATGATATTTTTATTTTGTTTGCTGCCTACCTGTTTTAAGGCCAGGCTATGATATTCTCCATCATCTAAACTCTGAAGTGTTTTTCAGTCTTTCATCTCTAAAGCACCCAGGAACTGGAAAATGGAAAATAGGTAAAATCTGGAATTGGTACTAAGATAGCACGTGCAATTGCTCCGTACAAGGAGAATCAAGACTTCTGGTTTTGCATGTAAAGCTTGTGTTCTTCATGGTTAATAAGAGAAATTCCATGCTGATAGTGTTCACAAAATCTGCAAGAGCACAGACAGTGTGTAACAGCCCAAAGGAAAATGCTTAGTGTGACACTGTAATTTTCTCCACCTGTTGCCCGAACTGTCAAAAGGAAACACGTCTCTTATTTCACTCTGAATAAGAAGTGGTATGTTTGTGGTTTGGGAAATGATAGCTTGATTCTCTGTCAGTTGAAGCAGCTGGCTGGCCCTCACCCAGAGCTGTGGCTGAGACATCCATGTACCTGCCTTGGCTCTCAGGCTCAGGCAGAGAAGGCTTTGCTCTCTACAGTTGGATATTTAGCAGTCTAACAGGGCAGGACATTCGTTTGAACCCATTGTAACTTTGCAATGACAAATGTGAAGGAAGGATGCAGCTGATGAGAATTCAGAGATAAAGAATAGAGGAATGAACAGGTTGATATTTTTAAAGAAACACATGTTTATTCAGAAATTCCTCACAAGTGCTGTTCCAAACTATTATTGAAGAATTCAAAAAAGTCTATGCAAATTACTTTGTTTTTGTGCAAAAATCTGAGCAGACTCATCTCACATTTCTTCGCACTGCTGGGAGCCCTCTATCAACCTCATAAAATTCTTTCACATCCTCCTATTTGTCTTCCCTACCCAACTCTTTCATCTCTTCATTCTCCTTTACCTACTTTCTATCCCAGATCTGCTCCTGTGAAAATAATCCCAACTCTGCAGACATTGGTGACATTGGGTTAAGATGCTGGAGCAGTTTGTCTCAGGAAAAAACAACCTGCTGATGGTGGTGGGAAGCATGTCCAGGCCAAAATCCTGCCTGGCAGAGGCTGCTGGTGGTGGAGAAAGTGGATTCCCATTTTCCAAGGCTAAAATGAAGCCCTCTTGGGGATCAGTCATGCTACCTGGTGGAATTTGACAAAGTTGCTTGTTTTGTACATTTGGAAAGCCAAAATTGTATGGCCTCGTGAAAACAAAAGTGGAAGGTGAATGATTGGGCAAGGAACGCTAGATTCTGATTTAGTTTAAATCTTCTACATACAGGTTTCCAATTTTCCCAGTTTTCCCAAGCTGTTAAAATTTTAGAGAAAAAAAATTAAGATAGAAAAAGAAGGAAGTGTCTGAAGCCTTTGCTTAGGACCTAACCATTCTTGAAAGAACTATTCCTACATGAAAAAAAAAAAATCAACAAGCACTTAGGCCCCATTCTATTCAAGACAATTTTTTTTGTGCTATCTTCCCAAAACAAGAAAGAAAGAAGACAAGAAGAACAACTAGGTGCAGAACTACTCCTAGATGATAATAAACTGACTGAAAAAAGTTGAGAACAAGCTGGATCAACCCTCTAACAGATGGGAGTCTTTACTGTTTTACTCTTAAGAGACAGTGGTAAATCATTTGGCATTATTAAAGATACCAACCACAAAAAGGATCTGTAAAAATACATGTTTCCAACTTTTCATCTTCTGGGGTTCTGTAGTTGTTAGTGGTCTGTGAGTCACTGCTGATATTTAAATGCTATATGTTCATTTGGATAGGTGCATAGCAGCAACCTCCAAGAATGAAATAATTGCCACCCATGTGAAAAAAAAAAGGTGGTTTCCTGTGCTGGCATATGTAATCAAAACATCTTTTTTACTTGAAGCAGACCTTTTAGGCTGTAATCATAGATACGAAGCACAGTAGAAGTATCAGATCTGCCTCACCACTGCATTAGCCTGACTTTATTCAAGTGCAACTCAGATGAAAAAAGCTGCAGTTACACCCGCATAAAACGGAATATTTTGCCCACTGAGACAGCTCTGCATTGCCTCGTGCCCTGCTCATCATTTGCAGTACACCAGGGAGCTGCACAGAGCTCTGTGTCTGGTTTGGATTGTGGGATTTGGGTAGAGGTTTGTGGTACTTTAAAAGGCTCCTCAGTGTGGTTGGCAGCAGAAAACTCATCCCACCATCTCTGTCAGATACTGGAGCTGCTGGAGGATAATCTGTTGCCTAAAAGTGGTATTTGCTGATGGAGACAGACTAGGATTTCACAGAGAAGTCCAGGTATTTTCCAATATGTCTCTCCTGGTCAGCATCTGGAATTCAGGATTGAGACGGGTCTAAAGGCAGCTGTGGAAATAAACATGAACAAGGCATTAGAAAACATGATAATATATTTTCTTGTTTTGTGACTTTTGGAAACAGAAGTTACCAGGCAAGAGACATAATTTTGTATAATAATTCCAGTTCACGTACTGATGAGTAACATTTTACTTGCTTTTGGCAAGCAGAAGAGGAGTAGGTTCCCACAAAACTTTGTGTCTCCCAGTTTCTTTACATGTGGGTGCCATCTGTATTTGCTCCCAAGTAAATGGGCAAAATGGCATTTCAGCGGCTTCCTGCAAATGTCCAAAGTTCCCAAGAAAATTCTTGAACCTCAAAAAAAAAAAAAATAAAAAGGAAAAAAGCATGGACAGCTGAAAAACAAATTAGATGTCTAGAAAGCCAGAAATTTATTCAACATTTCCTATTTATGCACATAAAAATGACAGCTTAATACATTTTTTCCCTAAAGAGGCAAGGGTTTTGTATGTAGTATCCCCCTAACCACTCAGCACTCTCCAAGCATAAACTCAGCAAAGCTTTTATAAACTAACTACAGAACCTCACGGCTGCTGCAAAATTTTGTGGGACAAACTCCTTTGGTTTAAGTGGGACCAAAAACATGAAGGTCAAAACAGGGGCTCAGTCTGACCCTTCCTTTTCCCAGATAATGTATGGAGCCTTTCTCTTTGCCTGATGCACTCGGAGTCTTCAGAATGAAAGTGCACCACATCCCTACCAAGTTAAGTAGTTTATAAACAGAGAAACACACCATTTTATCACTGAAGTGAAAATGTATGGGGGAATAACTGTTTTGAGTTACTCCTAAGCTGTGAGACTCCTGACTGATTCTTTTAGTCTGAGCTGGAGTTGTCAGCAGGTTGTCTTATTGTTCGTTTTGCTTTTTAACTTGAGAGACTCCATCTAAAATGCAGTGCCTGTGTGTGTGCATAAGCTAGACAAATAAATATCAATCATCCCCCAGATGGTGATAATATGCCCCATGGGAATGGAGTGTAGACTTGCTCTGACACTTCTGCCTGTGTTCTTTGCATTTCTGAGCTCTCCAAAATCCAGCACCCTTTGTTCATCTCAAATTGTGCACTCAGTCACACCTTTGCTGGTAGATTTCCCTCATTTGTATCTGTGTGTCTTCCTCCTCAGAGCCAGGTCTTTCAGATTTTGGAACTTGCTGGTTTATTTGATTCTATTTTTAGGCAGATTTTACACATCTAATTTTGAGTCTGTGATCCAGGACTTTGAATTAGGCATTCCTGCTGCTTGTAAAACGAGTGAGGAAAGCGAGCTGCCTCACCCTGGGCCTCATGGTGGTGAGATTCCTGAGCAGAGAGACTCCTTTGCTGGTCAGCAGGAAATGACTTCAACTCTGCAGCTCCTTCTCCTGCATTTAAGTGCTTGCCTGGGAGCTGCAGCGAGGTATTTCCCTGAAACCTTTCCGGGAATAAGGTACTTATGTCATTTTCTTGGAAACTACCATGAAGATCATTCCTTTCTTTTAAAGTATAGCCAAGAAAGTGCTGCCAAACCCTTTCAGGCTATGTTCACAACCCAAGAATATGAACAGGCCATTCCCTGCTCTCTTTGCTGGATTTCGGGCCCATATGGCCAAAGAGCCCTGAGGATCCCCTAACCACTAAACCACACTTGGAGCAGTTTTTATCCCTTCTGTTGAAGCCATTTGCAGAAAAGCCTGATGAATTTGCTGGGCTAGATAAGCCAAGAGAATGGCTTAGAGAGGCATAGCAATGGTGAAAGTGTCAGTGGTCAACGGCAACACGGGTTCCTGCTCCTGCACTGGTTCCCACAGCTCATAATGAAGACTTGTTGGATGGGAATTCATTGAATTATAGGCCACTTTTCTCTTAGGCAGTGTCCTAATCCTGGACAGGAGACTCTGTCTCAATATTTTGGCCTCATGCAATAGTCTCAATAGAAAGCTCTAGAGTTTTGACACATGAAACTTGGTAGATAGCCCCCATGACAAGAAAGGCCATGAAAGAGCTCATATTTTACCTTTTATCTCATCTTTTACCTTTTACCTCATCCTTACCATCTTTTACCTCTTACCTTTGTGAAATTTTGCATTTGTGCTTAACAAGTTTGAGCCCTGAGGTCTGTTTGTAACATATAAGAGGTAATTCTTACAGTTGTTCTCCCTTTTCTAATGAAACTCCAACGTGTCCATAAAAAGATTATTTATCATTATAGTTCATAAATATGAAGTAAAGATCAAACACTAAATGTGTGAGACAAGTGAGCATGGAGAAGTTGTGAAATTTTTTCCTTCATTGTTGTTTTTTGAGAATACAAGGCTGGGAGCAATATGTGCCTCAGTTTATTATTGTTTGTATGTGACAATTGACTGCATAGGCAGGAACTCACCTGGAAAATCCACTGGGGCATCCATTGCACTGATTTTTCCCTAACTTGAAGATTAATGTCTAAGATGCCTTTTGCCATAAGGAGGAAGTTAGCAATTCTTTTTCTCTGTTTTCAATAAAACCCAGGCTTTTGGATTATACAAAAGGGAATATGTTTTCTACACTTTTTATGAGAGATTATGAAATGTATTTCCCATTATCTAGATCATTCAGCCATCCTGTATTTATGCAGGGAGATGAAAAGGGAAGATTAATCAGTGAATGTAAAGATACTTAGTCAACAAACCTTGAGTTTTATATCTGTGTTAGTAGCTCTGCTACCAGCTACCATATTTCTTTTCTATTGTATTTTCTTATGTAGAGGAAACAGAATTGTGTGCTAGCTAATGATTATTTTAAGAGAAAACCAAAGCAAGCCGATTATTCATATAAAACAAGCAGCACTGCCTTTTAATTTTCATTGATAGGTCCATCTTTCAATGCATATAAATGACACAGCTCAAGAGTGAAGCTGTCCCAGTTTCAATCAGCTGAGGACCTGGCTTATCACACATTATCAAGTAACATATGACTTGCATTATAATCACAACTTTAGCTGAACAAAACTTTTTATTTCCAGTTTGCTACATAACTTGAATGTAAAATATGAACAGAGCACTTACAAAGAAAAAAAGAGTGGCCAGGAACTGCATGCAAAGAGACTGCAGGTAATAAAAGTTGAAATAGAAAATAAATTTCCATCAAACTTTCTGCACAAACACCTTCTGGAATAAGGAAAATGGTATCTAGCTAACTTAGAAAATATTAGAAATCACTGAAATGTTGCTGTTGTTATTATCATCATTGTCATCATTATTTGGGAACATTGATGGTTTTTAGTTGCTTTGGCTTTGCATTTCTTTTGCTCCCATAGATGAAAGGCAGACTAGATCCCTTAGGATAGATTGCATTTACTCTGCTACTTCAGAGCATCTAAAGCATTCTGAATCCAGTGGAAACTAGCAAAGTGAGGATGGGAGGAGACTCCTGAAAACAGATGAAGCTGATTTGCATGTAAAACAATAGGTGTTTTTAGTGGCACAGTACTTGTGCCACCGTGCAAGGGCTACTGAGCCTTAAGGCAGGACCTCTCTAGGGGTTCTGCCAACAGCTCTGATTCCTGAGAGGGCTGGCCCGGAGAGGAACATGAGTGGGGTTCATGTCTCAGCCGTTTATTCTCTTTTCCTTCCCTGCTTTCCTTATTACAGGTCACTGTTTTGCCTACTATAGAATCATATAGATGTAATATTTTAATGGGTCAAAAGAACACAATTAACTCTTTCCCTGGAGTTTTTCAGTGCAAATGACCTTCATTTTATTTTGTTAGCCTTTATTGGTGATATAAGGTGACTGCATTTGCTTCATTTTCATTTTAACATACGTTAAAATTATTTAAAACCATTGATAAAAACACTGAAAAACTTTGATTTGGGGGAGTCCCTAAAATGTCATCAAGCCAGTTGTGATTCCTCACTGATGGATTTTTTAAAAACTGACTCATCTCATTCTTAATGCTTTTACCATATACTTTATTGTCATCATGTGGCACTATTTTTAACCATAGTGTTGTACTGTACATCACATCTGCAGAATTATAGCAATCTACACTGAGAATGAAATCA